ATTTTTATGTTTTTGAAATTTGTGCGCTTATAGAAAATGATATGTTTCGCAACATGCAAACTTGTATATATCATTTTAAAGAGAATTTATTACTGAATTCAATACAAAGCACAAAATTCAATTATATGCAATACAAAAAAAAGTTATATGTACTTTAATATAAATAAAAAACAGTTATGAAGGGGTTTGTAATGTCTAACTTTCCTGGCCAATCACTGTTCTTGTTCTGAGAACCAATCAAATGTTAGTAACTACCAGCAGAAGCTGACATCATGTTTACACTTGAAACAATTCATTATTTTGCTTTGTTCTGTAGAAGGAGGACCTGTTTCTTATACACTGCAATTACAAGTAGGAATTTTTGTAAAAATTTTTAATATTTAGTCAAGAAGCAATGACATCAAATAAAAGAGTAGATTGGACACCTAGAAAGAGATGTAATGTTATTGTGTTACGAGAAAGTGGTCTTCTTATGCTTAAATTGCAAGACAGGTGGTTGGTTCAGTGACTACATCTGGAGTCCCGAAAGTTTTTGTTTACGATATCAGGAGACAAATTCAATAAAAAACAAAGAAGGAAAAGGCCGAAAAGGTGCACCCACATCTATTGATGACAGAAGAATAAAAAGACTATGTCTCTAAGATAGAAAAATGTCATCAGCGGCCATCAGAAGCGATCTGAATGATGCTGGTGTTTCTGTCAGTTCAAGTACAATCAGGAGAAGATTAACAGATGTTGGAGTGAGAGGTAGAATTCCACGAAAAAAGCCTTATCTTAATTTTCAGCAACGAAAAGAAAGACTACAATGGGCAAAGGAACACATTAATTGGATAGAGATCAGTGGTCACAAGTTATATGGAGTAATGAAACTAAGATATCATTATTCGGTAGTGATGGGCGAAAATATGTAAGACGTAGAATAGGAGAAGAGCTACATTCTGACTGCATTCAAGCAACTGTGAAGAACCCAGTTAGTGTTATGATTTCGCCATGCATGTCAGCAGATGGTATTGGTCGCCTTCATGTCATCGATGGGACACTGAATGCCAAAAAATACATTGACACTATTCTAGAACCAAAACTTCTACCTTCCATCAGAGATCTCTTTCCCAACAATGCTTCGTTTATTTTTCAGCAGGATTCTGCTCCTTGCCACACGGCCAAAATATCGAAAGAGTGGTTTCGTACAAAGAGCATTAAATTGTTGTCATGGCCAGGAAACAGTCCTGACCTCAATCTTATCGAAAACTCACTGCAATCATCACTATCTAATATATATCGATAACTATTATCGTTTAACTTTTTTTTGTATTGCAAATAATTGAATTTTTGTGTTTTGTATTGGATTCAGTAATAAATTCTCCTTAAATGATATATACAAGTTTGCATTTTGTGAAACGTAACGTTTTCTATAAGCATACAAAGTTCAAAAACATAAAAATTTCCAAAAGTGTCCACAATTTTAGCCACCACTGTATAGACATATATTTATATACGCTAGGTGCGGCCGGTTGCAACCAAAATACGAGGTGCATATCTACATATTATAGCAGTCCTACATAGAAAAATTTCAACGTTCTGAGACTACTCGTTTTTGAGTCATGAGAGATCATACGTACGTATAAACGCCACGAAAAATTCTCTTCAGAATTCATTTTAAAGCAGTTTTATAATTTTTTTGGGGGAAAAGAGTTTTTTATTCTGTCCTTACTTACAGATGTCACGCAAAAACATCGTTCAATGGCATTCGATAGCGGTCAAAATGGATATTTTCATTGAAATATGACGCCTGAAACCTTTCGCGATTACAATACTTCCATTTTACTTCGTGCAAGGAAGTAAAAACACTGCATCAAACAAAATAACTTATATTTATAATGCCTTTTAATGGACCCCTCGTTTCGGACTTTTTTTAAATGGTCTAATAATGATTTAAGAACTTATAGGGATTTACATATTTATTTTAACTAACAAGTTAAGCTTTCCTTCATTTCCTTAATTGTCCTTGCCGGAATATTTAAATTTGGTACCGCACATGAAGAAATTCAAATTGTACCTTGAGAAGAAAAGGTTTAAATACTAAATTCTAGAAGGGAAAGTTAGAGAGTGTAGGCATGCTCTGTACTTATGTAGCGTGAGCTTCTGGTTCTGTTTTTATTGCTGGCTAACGTGGTATAACAGCTATTACGTTGCTGCCCCTATATTTCGACGCGGTTTTTACGTAGGTAGGTAGGTAGGTAGGTTACGGAGGACTGGAACGCCTGATGTCTAACAGAGGTAAACAGGCATGTGTTCCACGCCCTTCTCTAACTACAGCAAAAGTTTCCTGGAGCCACACGAGGCTGCACCAGGAGATTATTGAGGTTGTCAAAGGGAAGTACATGGCCTTACAAGGGCATTAGTAGGATTGTGTTACAGATTGAAGAGGCAGGCTGCGGTGTTACAGATAATAGGTAGTTAAACTAAAAATACTTGTATAATAAGACTTACATATAAAAAGACATAAAAACACATACGCAAACAATACACAAAACACAATGCGTAAAATGCATAAACAGAGAGCACTTAAAACAGATACATACACTTAGTCACTTAAGGCGCAAAAAGACAAATGGAGTACATGAAGACACATGAAAGGTGGAGCACAAGGTTAGTGTAGGGCAGTTCTGTTCTATATAAATACAGGTACATCTTGAATGATGAATGATGAGTTCATGAATACTCATGTGTGCAGAAGAGTGCAGTTAGATTGGAAGGCGTTAATTATTGTAGGGTCGCACTAATAAAACTTAAAAAACATAAATAAAAAACACTGATTAAAAAGCCCGAGGATGTTGTAGCACTAATTATTGGTCAGTGCCCCAGCAATTAATGCACCGTGAGGCACACTGCACCTTGAGGCACACAAGTTTCACTAACACTGCATAAGAAGATGCCTGTTCACGCATGCTGTTGAAAGGGATTACACACATATCATTAAGGAGGCATAACACATCTCACCTAAGGAGATGTCATGTATTTGCGAATTGTTAGTATTGCCACTTTAGATTGGTGGGCACGGGAGCTTAAACACACAAATTGTGGTTGTAATGACCCAGATATTGTAAAATCCACTATTGGACTAGTCTTAGAGCTTATCGTCAGTACACCAGAGCCTGGGTGCCGAAGCCTGCTGACGGCGTCATTTTAGCACGGTAGGCAAAAGGTCTGTGCCCAATGCCGCGATAGTACTTCATGATGCTGGAGATTGAAATTAATCCGCTCCTTTATGCGTTATAAGGAAACCGGTGATAGGCGTTCCTATTATTTGTAGGTAGCGGGAGATGGTGTACAGCCGTCAAAGGACATTCAAATACGTCATGGTTTGGTGACCCTTCTAATCCACATGCACAGATATCGGTAGTTGAGATGCCGTGGCGATTGTAATAGCTTGGAAAAAGGCCGTGACCCATGATAAAGTAGGTGAGAGGTGCTACGGCAAAGAGTCGGTCGGTGGAAACTTTCAGGAGGTGGGTGAAAGTCCGTCTGCCTGTCTCGCATTCGGTCCACTCACGTTGCCATTGGTGCATTCCTTCCTCTGTGGTTCCTATACGTATTTCAGCTATCACAGCAGAAGATAAACAAGTAGATATTACAAACTTAAAAGATTTAGTTTCCCTTTGACTACATGGAGCAATTTTTTTGCATATGTTTCAGCGCCATTTGATCAGCTGTTTTTACAAGAAGGAGTGGGAAAACAAACAAAAAAGAATTTTACACTTCCTATTCCATATTAAGAAGTAAATTTTAAATCTCCATAATTTACTGGAATTTCTTGAGACACATTTAAAGTAGTGAAATTGCGGAACACATATGTCCCAGCCCCCTGGAAAAGGTTAAGTATGAAACGGTATGTTTTGATCATATAGCAGATGCTCTTTTCTGGTTTACTTATTCTTAAGAAACTAAATAATACAGTAAATGTTTTCTGAATTTATGTAAGCAATTTCGTTCTTAACTTGTAAAAAAGAAACATATAACTACGAGTAGAAGCTTTATTATTCAAATTGCATTTTTCTGCATCATCTAGTCTTCTGAACTCTGCAGTTTTAAATTCAAACTGTAAATCAGAACAATTTACGAAAACAATTCTTTGTTTCTCTAAAGCAGGGAAAGCTATATACTGTTCTAGGAAAATAAGTGTTTTTATGTCAATACAAAAGAATCTGAATATCAAATTCTATATGATAATAAGCTCATATCGATCATTCAAGATGATTAAAAGGTTGAAAGAAATGTTAAGCATTCTTGTGCATTTTTACGTGTAATATCTGTCGTTACGTTGATGTAACATCAGATATTAAAGCACGTAGAGACATTAGGTTTTCTTGAAGCAGAAGACGAAAATATGTCAGTACCGTCGTCAGGATTCGAACCCCATACCTCCAAATTGCTAGTCGGACGTCTATCCAATTACACCACAAACGCATGCGGCAAGGAGGGAAAAATTACCATCTAAGCCTTCAAACATGTCAAGAAACAACTATAAAGGGTTTTGATAGTTTGGGAAATTGTCATGCAATTAATTCAACTTTTATGCCCAAAAAGAATTCGTAACATGAGTAATGTAAAAGACTACTTTCTTTCAAAATTAAGCTTTTTTATCGATAGCTAAAATGTAGAATTAATCAAGCTACAATTTTCGTTAAAGTTATCTTAGATTTTAAAATTATTTTCAAGAAACAAATGTCGTTACTGTCCAGAAGGGCCCTATAGATTGCGTGTTTCCAATTTGGAATGTATTTTACTTATCTGTTCAACTATCTCAGTTTTTACCGGTTCGAAATGAGATACATCCCTACATGTTCGGATAGTTGGTGTTCTACCGCATTTAAATTTGCGTTTTTCTATATAACGCTTACCTCAAAGATAATTTTTATTCATTTGCTTGAAATAAAACACCAAAGCATTTATTGCTATAATCGAAATATCTTGAATTATACTTTCTGACTTTCCTATAGGCTGATCCTGCCATCGAAAGACCATATCCTATCGAAGATCACCAGAATGGCTTACAGACATCTTCTATTGGTCTTCTTTTCGTTGTGAAGCAGACCGACCTTTACCAAGGAGCTATTACTCTCCGTTGTACAGCCACAGTGTCACAGACATACTCAACCACAAGTGAGGAGTTAATTGTAGGGGACGGATTCTTGGAAATATCCTCGCCTTCAAATCCATTTAGTAAGTAGGAATATGTCAAGTGAACGTATTTTTATTCCTCTGGTAATTTTAATAAAATTCCTTGCAAATTTCACAGACTCTTCCACGCAAAATTACTTAAAAAATATATATGATGTCCTTTGCTTTCCTTGCGGCAGTTTATTTAAAAATAATACATAATAGTAGCTTTATTATGTATAAGAAATATAAAAAGTTATAAAACTTGAAGGCTTATAAAGGAATCTTTAACTTCAGCTTCCAATCTATCCTTACCTTCAGCTTCTAATCTATCCTTACCTTCAGCCTTTAAGAAAATTACGTTTTAGTTTTCTTGCTTCATCAATAGATAGCACCAGTAGATTAACTCCTGTCCAGCAATTCTTATCTTATCTTATCTCGTTCATTTGCACTTTGGCAGCTGGGGTTGATGATTCGGTAAAAACATTGAAACTGGTCCTGTGAAAATTTGGAAATATAACGCTGATTTTTGTTGTCTGACTTCTAAATTAATGTGCTTATAAAGCAAGTTTTAATGTTACTAAAACGTTTCAACCGGTGATGAAATATCTACTTTGTAAAAAATTCTTCACAAATTTTAGGTTTCTGCAGCTAATATTAATTACTATCCAAATAGCATATACAATATTATAGGGCTGTTGTCATTACAACCTTTTGGCTAACCATTGATTTAGCTAAGTTGGGAAGGAACACGCCACAAATTAAATCAAATCCAGTATTAATTATTCTGCCAACAACAGAAGCCGTAAAACTAATTTAATTACTATGCAATCTTTATAAAGTTTAGTCTCTTTAACTATCATAAATTGTAACCGGATTTAGACTGACAGAGAATTATCGCTAAGTCTAAAAGTTAATGGCAGAGTCTTAAGAAGGTTTAAGCAACCTTTTTATTAAATCAGATATAGACGACCCGTTGACTTCTGAATTAGACGACCCGTGCTTATTATAATTCAGCCAACTATTTATGGCGATGTAAAGTAACAGTAAGGTGAAATTTGAAATAAGCTAGTAGTCAAAGACTATATAATTCAATTTAGCCCGTCATAAACCTAACCGGAGTACATAATCAAAGTAACGTGGCTTGGAGAGGCAGAATACGCTGAATTAAACTTCCGAAACCTTCTTTTAAATACTAACTCTTTCTCCCTCTATTTACATTCTTGGGGGGCGGGAAGAAGAAGTTACAGTAAAAATGCAAAAACATAAAATAACAAGTTAGTGAAAAATAATATTTATAACCTACACCTTACCTATGACAATAAGGACTTCACAGATGATTTTTATTTTCAGATAACTGATCACCTTATGCTTTCTTTTATAAATGAGTTTATTAAGTTTTCTCCATTGCTAGATAAGATATAAATTACATAAAATTCTCTCAAAACTAAAACGTCATTTAGGTTTTTATACTATAACCCGATAAGCTTGAAGCTTCTATATATAGCTGATAAGCTATATATAGAAATTATAAAATAAAAATTAGACAAAATTAACAAGAGAACACATGATGAACTTTTAAAAGAATGTCTTCTTTCTTTAAGTTTTGCCTCAGACGGATTGTAATTCCAGAAAAGAAAGGGAAAAAATTCTAAAATAAAGGATGCATAGAACGATTTCATAAAAAAATATGACAATAAAAAGTAATTTTTGGTAAATAAAAATATCGTGTTTAAAAGGATTCTTCATGAACATTACGTTAATGTAAGAAAGTAATTGCATGTTATCATACCTATACCTTGAATAATTTTGGGGCAAATTTGCTTTTTGCATCAAATTTTATTTTATTCTAGTGATAGAATAATGGACAATGTTGAAGCACAAGTTTGTTCTACCACTGTGTAATTTATCCATCCATTTTGATATATCTGAACTATATTTTGAAGATTTTTTTTTTAAATCCTTGTGCACCACATAGTATTACACAGTGCTTACAGAGGTAAGTAAAAAAAAAAAAAAAAAAAAAAAAAAAAAAAAAAAAAAAAAACCGCTCATCTTTACCTTTTTGGTATATTCAATTTATGATCGCAAAAAGATGAAAGTATAAAAAGAGCACCAGAAAAAATATCTTATGCATGCAAATCGTAGAGTTTCGCATACATGCGCATTTTCTCAATTTTAATCGCCCCATCCTTCTCCCTAGACAGGTAGACCTCCTATGCTTTTCCTTATTCAAATAGCCTAACCTCAGTTTTAATCGTTGGTTTTAAAAGATAAATTTATTTAGGAATCCATGTTTCAGAAAAACAAAGTTATTCAACGTTCATTTTAATAACCTTCAAAACCCTTCTAGTCGTGAATTTTTTTTTTCTGGTTTCACAGTGCATTTTTAACTTCTTAGAAGTATTCTAACGCTTTTGCGCTCCGAGAGTGAGATGCTTTAAATTCTTTCCAAGCAAACTCATACGAATATTTAAAAAATCTGTTGTGTACATAGTATGATTTTCCTTGCACGGAATATTAAGTTATAGGCACTTTTTGCTGCATTTCATTTGAACTTATTTACTCGATTTTCATTACAGATATAGTTATCATTCTATTAATTCCATTCTCACTTCGCGGCAAGGCAAAAATACATAAAATTTCAAAAAACCTATATAAAAAATCGAAAAATATAGAAAAATATAAAGCACCAAATACAGTTAAAACTATTTTTACAATTAAAATTAGTGTTTCTACGCAAAAACAAGCAGTTCGGCCAGCGGACAAGAAGGCAGATTTTTCGGGGTACAAAACTAAAAGTTTACTTTCTGTCCCATTCGGCAAAAAAGACACTGAAGGTGCAGAAAGACTTAATTCCCTATTGTGCTAAGTTTCAAATGTAAACAAATAAGGCTGCTCTGGTAAAAACATTAGTCTTAGTCGCACTTAAACAGCTTTTACATTGTTGATAATTCTACAACTATTGCATGCAGATTAATTAAAGGCATAAAAACCTTAATCGGAAGATAAGAATAGCATAATTCAATCATTTTTAAAGCAATCAAATGCACAGTTTACCAACATATAAGAGTAAAAAAAAAAAAAACTGGGCTCTCTGAGCCGAGTAACAAAGGGGAAATATATAGATTTTTATACTTTTAGTGCTGCTCATTGCAACCAAAAAGAGAGGTGCACAACTGCATGTTATAGCAGTCCTATATACAAAATTTCAACGTTTTGAGGCTGCTCGATTTTGAGTTATGCGAGATAAATACATACGTACGCACAGACGCCACGGGGAAAAATCTCTTTTCAATCCATTTTAAATCAGTTTTATATTTCTTTTGGGGGAAAGAGTCCTTTATTCAGTTCTTACGTACAAATGTCACGCATAAACATCGTTAAATTGCATTCGACAGCGGCGAAAATGGATATTTGCGTTGAATTATGATGTCTGAAATTTTTCTTGATTTCAATACTTCCTTTACTTTGTACAAGGAAAAAGTTTTCATAGCTGTTATTTCTATACGCTAATTTAAATGATTAAACAGTTATAACATTTCACAATTGTTCTCATACTGCCCATTTGTTGTTTTGTTTCCATATTAAAATTTTATACCAAAAATAAATAAATAAATAAAAATTTTTAAAGAAGAAAATCTGATATGCTTCAGATTTTAAATTACGTCCAAAGGGGCATTTTTTAACATTTTTTATGTTACCTTTATTTATTAAACATAATGTTCTTCGCACTTAAACTTCAAAATTCAGTTCAAGAGCAATATCGCAAAATAGTTTTAAATTGAGCATATCTTTAGAATTTCCTATACTGAGTCTCGTGCCCTGGAGATAATTTTTTTTTTTTTTTCTGTACAACGTTGCCTTGGCTCGCTTTGAAATCCTTGAGTTTGTTAATAAAAAATTCGTTAAAGTTTTACAAAATAGGAAATCGATAATAAAACATTCCAAATTTCAAATTTGGTCTTCCACATGCCCATATTCGCAGTAGGATTACATCATTCAAAACTCGATGGCTCATGTACCGTTGTTTTATCACAGTGCCAGAAATATACATACATTTATGCAGATTTTTCGTTATTTAATTTCTTCAAATATAATGCAGGAATCTAACATTTGGTGGCAACAGTTTAAAAAGTGAAATGGACATTTATAGTGAACCAACCCAAAATCGCAAAACGAAAACAAAAGTCCTTCAGGGACGAAGCCTCTTTGGACTAATAAAAATTTAATACAAATTTTTTAAATGCCCATAATGTTCTACAAAGGTATTATAAAATACAGATTTTTAGCCGATTTTAAGACTCTTTCTAAGAATAATAAAATTACCACGGTAGAAATAATAAATTCAACAAATAAGGCACTATGAAAGTACGAGTAAGAATGTCATTTACAATGTTATAAAAATGTGATCAGACATTTAGTTTCTGAAAAAATATCAAAAATGTTAAACGTATTAAACTGACATTAAAAAATACGGTTGTCTTTTATTCAGTCCTTTTTTATGCTAAATATCTTTTCCAAAAATAAAATACTGTTTTCAATATTTAATAGAAAAATATAATTTTAGACGATTAAAATACGATTTTAGAAATATGTTTATTTATTCTGTCAAATAACTGTAAAACAATGTTTTTGAAAATGTATGTACTTGGGTTGAAAATGCATTTACTTTGTAGTATTTACTTGGTTTTTTATTGGTTTCTGATCTAATTTTTGCTCCTCTCATCTTGTACTACTGATTTCATTTTCTGATTTAAAGAAACATTTTATTCTCGAATTTTATGTTTCATTTTTTGTCAAATATGTTTAACAGTCTTTAAATCTGTACGTTTAAGAGGTGTTTTAAGAATTTCAGTGTTACTTAACATATCTCAGCCTTACATTCGTAATAAATGCTCAAATTCATTATTTTGATGTAGTTTAGAATCAGTTTAAAGGTTAAATTTATTTACTAATAATTTCAAATTTCATTTTAAAATATCAGTATGTGTACTGATTCCTCATGCCATCACAATTAAGATTACGGTTCACAGGGCGATGTAATATAGCCCCATATCATAACTCACTCTTTTAATTAAGTATTGAATTTTAATTTCAGTCTTCACCATATTAGATAAAAACTGCCCATGCTAAAGTCACTTCCGAGAACTTGTTCCAGAAATTAGAATTCTTATTTCTGGTAGAACTGAAGGCAACTGAAGTTTCTGTTGTTTCACTGACGCAGAATTTTTCTTTTCATGCAGCCATAATACCCAGAGGATCAGATTACTATTTTAATCCTTTCTTCGTAGGCAAATACTTATGCGTACCACTGGTGGTACGCAAGAGAAAAATAGGTGGTACGCAAAGAAGCAAAGTATTTTTAACTTTTAAATACAAAAATTAAAACCCAAACATCCTAAATGAGTTTCTTCTCTAACGCTCATAAATTTATGCGATCTGAGCTTTGTTCAAGAGTGGTGGTGGTAGTACTTTGTAGTGTTAATCAAAAATGGGTTAAAATTTTACAAAATATGAGATCTATAATAAAGCATTTCAAATTTCAAATTTGGTCTTTCACATGCCAATATTCGTAGCAGGATTACGTCATTCAAAATTCTATGGCTTTATGTACCGTTGTTTTTTGTCACAATGCGAGAAATACACATACATTTATGCAGATTTTTCATTATTTAATTTCTTTAAATATAACACAGAGCAATAATACTTTGTGGCAACAGTTTAAAAAGTGATTCGCCGTTTGTAGTGAATTGACGCAAAATCGCAAAACGAAAACAATAGTCCTTCAGGGACAAATCCTTTTGGAATTAATATATATATATATATATATATATATATGTTATTCAAATTATTTTATATTATTATTTTTAAACTGAAAGCCGAAACACATCCATCAACAAATTTAAATGTAGTTCTTAGTGCATATTTCCTAATTTTTGGTATTTCGATTAAATTTTTACACGCGCTGCGGTTTTATACAGTTGGGGATGTTCTTTTATTATGCAGCTGTAATTGCACGGGATGGTCCTGTGATTACTGGAGCGAAAACGCATTACAGTGTGGGAGATATACTGGACGTTAATTGCTCTTCTGCCAAGTCTAATCCGACGCCAGAACTCCAGTGGTTTCTCAATGACAAAGAGGTAATTATTCTACTTTTAGTATTCTATTATTGGAATTTTTCTCAAGAAATTGTCTTTTATAAATGATGCACTTTCCTGTATGAATGTTTCAGAGAATGTTACTTAGTGTCAATAGGGTATCGTAAAGTCAACAGTCAGAGACACATGACTGCATTTATGAACGTACATATATAAAAAAAATTAAGTTTGTAATATTATTATTGTTATCTAAAATAAAAATTTGAATTTTTGGTTTAACTTGTCCTTTCCTTTTCCTTCGCTCTAGAGAAATTAAACGATGATTCTATAATAAAGAACTCTTTAATAAGTAATTCATTTAAGTAAAATAAATGAATAACCAGTATTTTGGTTAATAAAATTAATTTTATAATCCCGTACCAGAAAGTTTAAATTTGGTCTCAAATCTAATGAAGAAATATTTTGTAATTTAAAGACTTTCTTTCTTTCTTTTCGCCAACAGAAGAGCGGCGTTAGCATCGGCCAACGAAACCCACTTTTATAGTTATTTGTAGCAGAATGTGTGGGATGTGAATGCTTATAAATGAGCATATAATCTAACTGTCAATCTAATTGTAAACGACTGTAGAGAATTGTGACAAATTTATAACAATTAATCGTCGAAAGGTCGGATGAGCAAATAAAAGAGAAGTAAATAAGTAAATGAAAGAATTAAAAAGAAAATCTGAAAGGTTTCAGATTTTAAATTACGTAAAAAGGGGCGTTTTTTTAATCATTTTCTCTTTTACGTTTATTTATTAAATATCACGTTCTTCGCACTTAAACCATAAAATTCAAGAGCAATATCGCAAAATAGTTTTAAAACGAGCATATCTTTAGAATTTCCGATACAGAGACTCACGCGCTGGAGATAAAAAATGTTTTTTCTGCACAACGTTGCCATTGCTCGCTTTGAAATCCTTGAGTTTGTTAATCAAAAATTCGTCAAAGTTTTAAAAAATAGGAAATCGATCATAAAACAAATTTCAAATTTCAAATTTGGTCTTCCATATGCTCATATTCGTTGGAGGATTACGTTATTCAAAATTCGATGACTCTATGTACCGTTGTTTTATCACAATGCGAGAAATATACATACATTTATGCAGATTTTTTCATTATTTAATTTCTTTCAAATATAATGCAGGACTCTAACATTTTATGGCAACAGTTTGAAAAGTGAACCGACATTTATAGTGTCCGACGCAAAATGCAAAACGAAAACTAATAGTCCTTCGGGATTCAAATCCCCTTTGGACTAAAAAAAAAAAAAAAAAATAAGTCTGAAAACTTTCAGATTTTAAATTACGTTAAAGGGGCGTTTTTTAACATTTTGCGTGTTACCTTTTTATTAAATATCATGTTCCTCGCACTTAAACCATAAGATCCAGTTCAACAGCAATATCGCAAAATTTTTAAAACGAGCATATCTTTAGAGTTTCCGATACACAGTCTCGCGCGCCAGAGATAAAAAAAGTTTTTCCCCCGTACAGTATTGCCATTGCTCGCTTTGAAATCGTTGAGTTTATTAATCAAAAACTCATAAAGTTTACAAAAAATATGGAAATCGATCATAAAAACAAATTCCAAATTCCAAATTTGATCTTCCAGGTGCCTATATTCGAGTGGAGACTTCCGTTATTCAAAATTTGATGGCTCTAGGTACCGTTGTTTTATCACAATGCGAGAAACATGCATACATTTATACAGATTCTTTAGTATTTAATTTCTTTAAATATAACAGAGGACTCTAATATTTGGTGGCAACAATTTAAAAAGTGATTCACCGTTTATAGTGGATCAACGCAAAATGCCAAAACGAAATTAATAGCCTTTCTGGGCAATTGCCCTTTTGGGCTAATAAATGAATTACATAAAATGAATAAACGTATACATAAAACAATGCAGTTACATAAAAATACAGTAGAGAGGTTGTGTCCTACTGCTAGTAACTAAACAAGATGTAATTAAAACAAACAGAGGAAGTGAGTGAATAAGGCAGAGTACATTATAAAATGACAGATAACACTCAGACGCTGTACTTACAATGATACAAACAGATGAATCAAGTGGGTATCTTATGGAAACATAATAAAAGCAGAAGGACTAAATTTAAAAATATGTATATACAACATAATTCGATTTCACAACAGGGAAAGATACTGAAAAGTCAGAAACCCCAATCGCAATTATAAAAATCTTTCAGATGGTGATCAATTATGACATGATGCAAACAAGAAAACAGAGAACTGCAAAAACTACAGGTGCCAGGGATTTTTGTAGGAAATAATTTAATCTAGAATGTATGTTGGGAATAGAACTGGTTATGTCTAGACATTCTGCTATAAATTTGAGAGAAACAGCATTTTGGTGCACTTTCTGCCTGTGTTATTACATTTGCATTAGACAGACTTGTAGAGATGAGGTTTGGCAGTGTTTGGGCAACTGTAGAAATAGTGGTCGGGGTCTCCGACCATTCCCCAAACACGAACCAATGCAAGTGGCTAATAAGCCGAACCGATGCAAGTAACTAATAAATGGACCATGGCCGGTTAAATGCTAAATGAAGTGAAAAAAGCTACTAGTTAGGTGTTTTCTAATTTTCGGAAATAGTTTGTGTGCACTTCTTTCTGTTGTTTCTGTGTCCCAAAAGCGCTGCAATTATTTCACGAGTTCTTCATTTAGTAAATGCCTTCTGTTCCGAGCCTGGAAATGTTACGTTTAGTATGCTTGCTTGAAGCTCAGTGGCGACTTTTTTCTCGATGATGCCCACGTTTTCGTTTCCAGTGATTCCTGTATTAGCTGAAACCCACTGACTGAATAGCATGCCAATGAGTTACTTTAGATCTTTCTTACGAGAATATTTCTCTTCCGTTGCTCATGATGGCTTGCAAACCAGAAGTAGAATCTGGTAAACGCTACCGTAGGAATTATTAAATGATGAGAAATCTTTCCCTGCAAGACCAAGTTCCTGATGTTGCGTTTCTTCGCCTAGGACGTTACCATTCTTTCACCATCCATAATACAGTACCCAGTATCCGCCATTTGCTCTTCTTTAGAGCTGACAGTAAATACTGCCCTGCCGTCCAGTTGAAGAGCTTCATATGATGTTTGTATGAAATTTGGCGGGATGGCATGGAAGACTGAGTAAAGTCTGCTCATAGTCCATGAAAGCAAATGAGATATTCCATGTTGTGGCGTCTTTTTCAATCCTAATACGCGAACTAGAGTACTTTTGTATTGTCAAGTGCACTGGTGGAATTCCTGCAAGTGTGTTATGTACGTTTGTGGATGGTATTCGGTATCTCTGACGATGCTTAGAAGAAATGGTCTTTCAGCGAAGTCTAACATTTTACGGATATTTACGCTACACACTGAAGCACCATGGTGTGCAATACTCTCCGCTACAATGAGATACCAAACCTTCAACATCCGCGAGGATACTTCCCTGGTAGGCACAGCTGTCCTCAATATCAATCTAGAGATTCTGTGCAGTTTACTTTTGAGATCTTTAACGTAGGGAATGCATCGTAGTTTACCATCCACAATGTCCCCCAGATACTTAAGTTACTTTACCTTGTAGACTGACGCATGGAGTTGGGTCGTTCCTTTTACCAGAGTATATTAGCTTACCTTTTGTTTTGGCGTGTTATATGACCAAGTTTGTATTCTTTGGCCAGGTTAGAAATTGTCTAATGTTGATTATGAGCTGCTTTCGCAAGCGTGGCGGGAGTGTCCTCTGGCAATTAACAGGAAGTCGTCAGAGTGAGCGAGAATCTCAATGCTGTGGTCTTTGTCAAGCAGTGAAAGTGCTGAGTTGGTGACCAAGTTCCAGAGCAGATAATTTAATAACTGTTAAAAATCTGATATTCAAAAATACTTTGATAGGAAAAAACATAAATTAGAAATATTCTTCAAAGACTCATTGTTGAGCATCTTGCAAGCTATTATTCTGTATCACAACGCATGGCGAATGCATGGCGTTAAAGTATATTTTATTAATTGCAATGAATGTTTATGTGGTTTGAATGTTTATGAAATTTTCATTTATCTATATTATACATCTCATGTATTAGCTATAACCTCAATTGTACTGATTAAAAATATTATAGAAAAATAAAATTTAAATTTAAATTGTTAAGAACTACATACATTAGTTTTAAGTCACTCCGTTTTGTTTAGCAATGTACTGCTTTAATTTGAAATGTAAATTACAGATTTTGTTGAACTACGAATCGCAGCACCTTTGAGAACTGGAAGTTTTCCCAGTTGCATATATGGTAGCTGAAAGATCTAGTACTGTAATGTAACATAAATAAAAATAAAAAATGAAAGATTAATAGGTCTGTAAGTAATTCCAGATTCAATATTAGTTTCTCCAGCATTTACAGGAATTTACTAAAATATTACCCTCCAAAAATCAGAAAAATAGTTTTTTTAATGTTATCTGGTTTCCGCAGTCGCTAAAGTTTTCTTATTTGGAATGAGGGGCTATTGCAATTTAAGTTAGAATTTTTATTTACATATTTTTCTCACATATATCTCTCTCATACACACGTACATATATTATATGGATTTAAGATCATACAATATTATATATATATATATATATATATATATATATAGAATTTGACTTAATTCACAGCATGAGAGCACGAAGTAATATTTAAATGGTTTATTTAATATAAAGAAATAAAAGTAATTAAGAAAAGTATATAAAGATGAAGTTAACGGTATGCAGGATTAACATAATGATGCACCAACAGTCCTTTTATAAACTCTTGAAGACGTGAGCCGTCTGCTCACGTCTGCCCTCCACTCTCGACCAGGTCTCAGCGCTGCCTGGGATGATTCTTACTGCGCTGGGCTGTGATGCTATACTGATGACGTCATAACGGGCAATTCTCATTCAGCATTGGACGGTATGATTTTCCACAGCTTCGGCCAGACTGAAGAGGCATCGTCCTCGATGTCTGTTGAATGGACATCACTATCATGTACCT